TGGGGGGGGGGGGGGAGGGAGGGAAGACATCAATCCTCGGTAGCTCTTGTAGCTCTTGTACTACGCATCCAGTGTAAACTCTCACTCCTCCTCTGTTCTACTCGCCGCCTCAAATGTCATGTCCGCGTGGTACTTCTGTGCAATTCTCATCCAATCTCGTCGTCTCTTCCAGGATACATCTCTAATCTCCGCTGCTGCCTCTTTTCGCATTGCCCCCACCGCCGCACCCCTTTTTTCTTCACCCCTCTCGCACCTCCAACATGGGTCTCAACTCACCCCAGCTTGAAGTCCTCCCTGGAGCTGATCATCGAGTAGGGGAAGAAGACCACCTTCGCCGCAGCCAACACAACCCGGACGAACATGAGCACCCTCCACACCAGTGGGAACAGCAGCAGCACCAGGAGGGCGGCGACGGCAATCCTGCATCGCACGACATCGACAGCCGCGTGGCGTCAAGAGGAGAGAACGAGTTAGAAGGCGACGAACGGGTGCATGACGTTTTCGTGGTACGCGGACACCGGAGAGAAAGAGAGAGAGAGAGAGAGAGAGAGAGAGAGAGAGAGAGAGAGACAGACAGACAGACAGACAGACAGACAGACAGACAGACAGACACAGACAGACAGATAGACAGACAGACAGACAGAGACAGACAGAGACAGAGAGAGACAGAGAGACAGAGAGAGAGACAGAGAGAGAGACAGAGAGAGACAGAGAGACAGAGAGACAGAGAGAGAGACAGAGAGAAGAAAGGAGTCTAATGTTGTCATGAGAAAAAAAGGCCGCGGGATCTCTAAGTCAAGGAAAGGACACAACTGTTATTTTGGCAGTCGTCACGACGGAAGACACTGCACAAGGGGGGAAGCTCTGCAACCCCCGCACCCACAACCACACCCGGCTCGTATTTTGGCTTGATGACGACTCGGATCTGGCGAATGAGAGGTACAACAACAAGGAGCAGCGCGGTCTCTACCTAGCGACAAGCTCATCCCCGCCAGACAAACCCGAACGGATCCGCGTACGTAAAACGTCCACACGAAGCAAAGATGCTTAAGACTCCCAGAAGCACCTCACAAAACCAAAACAAAACATCCCTCCTGCAGGCTAGACAACACCGCACGCTTGCTTTTTCAGGATCGGCGGGAGGGAGAGGGGAACCACGGACCCCCTTCTCTTGGGTATGGAGCGGTACTTGCATTTTCTATTCGGACCAAAAGGTGCACTCGCGAGCGGCAGCAGCAGCAGCAGCAGCAGCGCAGGACGAAAAAACTCACCGCATGAAGAAGAGCTCGGACATCTCTTGCTGGAGGATCTCTGCCGAGCCTTGGAGGGACTCCAGGACGTCCACCTCTTCGACGGCGATGTTGTAGTAGAACACCTTCGCCGAGTTACCAGAGGCGTCCTGTGGGAGGGGGGGGGGTGGACAGGGAGAAATGGGCGGAATAAAGTTGGAGATAAACTTGTGGACGGGGTGGGAGACGGAGACGGCGAGAGGGGCTCAAGCAGATTGGGATTGAAGAGAGGCGCTGGGGGGGTAGGTGGGGGCAGCCGCCCCAACACAACATGACGCTCTCCCTTCCTTCTGTGCGTTTTCTGCGACCACCATGCCCCCTGTTTCTGCCATTTTGGGGACGTCAATCGGTCCAGCAGTAGAGACGAAAAGCCCACAAGTTCCGCGCACGGATGCAAAGCAGCGACTTCGGCACGAAAACAAACACTCAAAATATACTTTCGTACCACTGCACGAAGACTGGATGAAGTTTTCGTACCACTGCGCGAAGACTGGATGAAGCGTTCGTTCCCACAACTCTAAACCCAACCCAAGCTCTCGCGCGCCACGATCGCCTCGCACCTTGACGTTGTGCGGCACCCTCCACATCCTCTCGCGCCCGGGGATCTTCTCCAGCGCTCCCCTGGTGATGTTCGCGGTGAGGTCCACCACCCTTCCCCCGTACTCCACGTCGCTGGCCGTGAAACAGACCTCGGGTTTCCACTCCCTGCTATCGGAGGCGTCGCCTTCGCCTTCAAAGTCGTCGTCGTCGGCTGCCCCGGGAGCCGCCTCATCGCCGTGACCACACAGGTCGCCCTTGAGCTGTTGAATTGTCATTGCCATTGCATGTAGGAGGGCGATGTTTCCGGTCAGTCAATGGCGGCACGTTTTGCGTAGCATGAACGGCGAGAAAAACATACGGGCGGGGGGGGGGGGGGGACCAAGACAAAAGGGGGTCGAATCAGTGGTTTCCGGAAACCATGAAAAAAAGGGGGAGGGGGGGGGGCAATAAACCCTTGGGTTTTTGCTGGAAAAATTGAACCCCATTGACGGGGCATCCCCCAAAAAAAAGGACAAAAAAAATTTTGAAATTTTCTTTTCTTTAAAAAAAAAAAACTTTTTTTTTTATTTTTGAACCCCCTTGGGCCCCCAGGTTTTTCAAAGGGCCCCCGGGGGGGGGGGGGGGGGAGGGGGCCCAACTTTAAAAAAACCAAGGGG